AATGTTAAGTCTTTATTAATTCAAAGCACGTGGTGTTCGTGTGTATTAAGGTATAAAAACGCTTATTAAAAGCTTAAAATTTTTTTTTTATTATAAAGAAGATCTTTTCGGAATTCTATCATTCCATCATCAGTTTACTAAAAGAGAGAGTAAAAATACCAATATTAAAAACAACAAAGTTAAAATTTGAACATACAAAAAGAAAAAGTTGGTTTTTTACTACTTAAATAAAAAAGGTTGTTAAAAAACATTGTGTGGCCACATAAAAAACATTCGGTGGACATCTGGATTTAAAAAATAATATTCTTCGTGTTATTTATTCAGGTAAATGCAATAGACTCTTGACTTGTGTAATATAAAAAATGAAACTGGGGGCATCTTATATGACACCCTGTAGTTGGTGAGGTTTTATTGACTTACATTACCTCTGATCTGTGTTGGAGTCTAGGGCTAACTGATAGAAAGATGGTATGAAAAATCAGTTAGTACCCGTCAATGTCAAGAGGAATGATGTGGTAGGAGCAAAGTCATTGTGCTTAAGTTTGTGAGTAGGCAGTTTTTAGTGAAGAAATGTGTTTTGTGTGTAGTTGGATCATAAGCAATTTTTGGTATTTTAAAAAACTGATGGGAGAATATAAATCAATGCGTGACTGTGACGCAAAATAAATCGGTATACCAAGGTAGGGAAAAAATTTTATGTAATTTAAGTGGTTAAAACTATTAAATCATTTTAAATGGGATGAAAAGGATGTTATTACCTAATTGTTTCGTTGTATTAAATTTCAACTTACATATTCATTCATACTTAACTCTATACTTGTCACCATTAATACACTAACATCACCCCTTTGCTAATATCCAACTACCCATCCTCTCCAATAACTACCATCTCACTTATCATACACAATTTTTTTATAATTATTCATTTTACATCTATTATTCTCTTATCACAATCAGTTTTAATATCCCCAGCTTACATCGTTATATTCACCTTCTATTTCCTTTTCTTGCTTTCTCGTTAATTTCTTTTTTCTTTTTCTTTTCCTCTACTCATCTTCCATAAATTACAATCCTACTTTTATATATATTCATTTAATCATACACATACAATCATACACATTTTCTTATAAATATTCATTTTACATCTATCTACCTCTTATCACAATCAGTTTCAATTTCCCCAGCTTACATCGTCACATTCACTTTCTATTTCATTTTCTTACTTTCTCGTTTATTTCTTTTTCTTTTCCTCGACTCATCTTCCATAAATTACAATCCATCTTTTATATATACTCATTTAATACAACGAAACAATTAGGTAATAACATCCTTTTCATCCCATTTAAAATGATTTATTAATTTTAACCACTTAAATTACATAAATTTTTTCCCTACCTTGGTATACCGATTTATTTTGCGTCACAGTCACGCATTGATTTATATTCTCCCATCAGTTTTTTAAAATACCAAAAATTGCTTATGATCCAACTACACACAAAACACATTTCTTCACTAAAAACTGCCTACTCACAAACTTAAGCACAATGACTTTGCTCCTACCACATCATTCCTCTTGACATTGACGGGCACTAACTGATTTTTCATACCATCTTTCTATCAGTTAGCCCTAGACTCCAACACAGATCAGAGGTAATGTAAGTCAATAAAACTTCACCAACTACAGGGGGTCATATAAGATGACCCCAGTTTCATTTTTTATATTACACAAGTCAAGAGTCTATTGCATTTACCTGAATAAATAACACGAAGAATATTATTTTTTAAATCCAGATGTCCACCGAATGTTTTTTATGTGGCCACACAATGTTTTTTAACAACCTTTTTTATGTAAGTAGTAAAAAACCAACTTTTTCTTTTTGTATGTTCAAATTTTAACTTTGTTGTTTTTAATATTGGTATTTTTACTCTCTCTTTTAGTAAACTGATGATGGAATGATAGAATTCCGAAAAGATCTTCTTTATAATAAAAAAAAAATTTTAAGCTTTTTAATAAGCGTTTTTATACCTTAATACACACGAACACCACGTGCTTTGTATTCAACAGGTATACTAGCCACTCCTGGATATCTCCACTTCATGGTTTGTTCCAGTTTCACTTTTAAAAATCTTTATTAATTCTAATTTATTGTTCTTAATTTAATTTAGTAAAGGTTCAATATTTATAACACAAACTTAATTTACTTAAAGTTTATTTATTATAATTTATCTTACAATTTATTATTACGACCGTTACATTTAACTACCCGTTCGCAATTTTCTTTTCTAACTGAATTCCCCACAATAAAAATCCTGTTATTTATATGAAATGCCGTCAGCATAGGATCTCTCGTGAAGCAGACGGAAGTTGACGTAAATAGTCTCGAACCGGTTTTTTTTAGCGGCCTGTTTCCAGAAAGGTCGATTGGTAGTTGATCGCTTTCATATCGCAGGGGGCCCATCGTGTCAGGTAAGTTTTACCTGGAATTTCTACCATCAGGTCAAATCTTGAATATATAAGAATTAAACATGTTAACAGGTTTTTTTTTTGTAAATATGACTAATTTTTACGCAACAATAACAAAAGTCTCATCTCTATTTCTGTTTATGCTGATCTCGTTCCATACATACCATGTATGGAACGAGATGAGCATAAACAGAAATATAGAGAATAAATTGGAAACAGTGGTTTTTGAAGAAGAGGTATGTGAAAACAAGGATGCAGAATATGCGATAAACATGTGTCAGGAATCTGATAAAAAACAAAGAGAATTAATAGGTGGAAAAGGAAGAGAAAAGGGTATGCGTTTGCTTTTAAGAAAAATGTTGATTCAGAAAAGATCAAAGTAGTGTACAATATCCATGATGTATACAAACATTACGAGTAATGGAAGGAAAAGGTTTAAAATGCAATTACTAAAAAAAAAGGAACTATACAGGGAATTTTGTTTACCCCAATAAAAATCAGTTGCAATATGCGAATAATTTTTATCGTTTGCAAAGGCGGGGATTTGTGATGATTCTAAAACAGATCGAAAATAAAATAAATGTTTATTTTAAAAATACCATTAGTTGATAAATATTCAAGACCCTGTATAGGTTAAAAATTTATAAACATAATGTTTTATTTGTAATAAGTGTTTCCGTAGAACAGTGCATTTAAACCAGTGAATAGTTACTAAGAACATTTGTATACAAAAACAATTCGGGATTGTTTAAAAAGTAATAGTACATTGTTTACCGGCTAGGAAAAGCTTAACATTCCTGGACGACTGTGAAGATTGCTAAGTCGAGGCGCAAGCCGAGAGTCCAGGAATGTGGCTTTTCCTACGAGGTAAACATACTATTTTTCCGCAAATCGTTTAAAATTCGACAGATATTGATTGATTTAAAAAAAACGCGATAATTTTATTCCCAAATAAATGGTGCTTTGAAATTCCTAATAAAATTACTTGGGTTACTATGGTACAACGTATTGAGGTTGAATTGTCAAACTTGACAATTTAATGTATAATTTTATCTATCATTTATGTAGAACACTAACAACTGTACGGAAATATCATTTCCTTACAGTAAGGAAATGACATTTCCTTAAGGCGCGTTTTCACGGGTCGATCTGAGTCGAACGATTTGGATCGTTCGACCATCATTCGATCTGTGCCGAAAGCAAAAAGGTTTACACGACAGTCGATGAATATTGAATTAATTGTAATTGATAGACAAAAAAAATCACAAATGTTATTAAAATTATCTATATTTTTTAAATGTTAATATAATTTGGTACATTGATTTATAAATGTAATATTTTCGAAGTAAAGTTTTACATAAATAGTCTATTTATAAATGCACCCTTAAGATGGTATTTTCTTAGATAAAACTTTGAAAACAATTAGGACCAAATTAAATGTATCAGCTATAATGAAACTGTTGACATGATCTACGGACAACACTTATTTTTATCTAAATAATGATTTCTATAAACAAAATTTTTGGACTGTGCTTTAAATCCATTATTAGCTAATATATTGATGGAAGACTTCAAAACAACCATTCCTAATTAAAATTTAAAGTCCACAATATGTTGAAAATATGTAGATGATGTGTTGGATACATTTCTGATTGATATAAATAAAAGGTAAAAGGTTGAGTCAATAAAATTTACAATGGAAAACAAATAAAATAACTCTTTTTCTGGATGTTTTAATCTCAAAGTAAAATAGTGGATATGGGACTAATGTATACAAAAAACCAACACATATGAAAATTGCCTGTTCTAATGACAATTTGTTTTTGGAAAACAAAAATAATTATTTTCTAACATCTATTTTATTAAAAAATTATTATTCCAGTTTTTCGACATCGATTCGGCGGGAATCGCCTATGAAAAGTAGACAGTCTTTCGACTTTCGTCGAATCGACTCACTCCGCCGAACGACCAAGTCGATTTATGGTTTACATGTTCAATTTGCTTTCGATTTATTAGTCGACGGCCAGTCGATCCAAATCGTTCGACTCAGATCGACCCGTGAAAACGCGCCTTTACAGTAAGGAAATGACATTTCCTTACAGTAAGTCCTGACTTTTTCTTCAAGAAATTTTGACAGGAATGTCAAAATTTCCTGGCGATTTGCGGAAAAAGTATTTTTTTTTAATTTTATAAACAATTATACATGGTTTTGTAGCAGATAAGAATTCAAAATTAATGTTAGATATATAATGGGCTGTATATTATTTTCTTTGAAGGTAATTCTATGAATAGATCTTATCTTTTACAAAGAGGCATTTGCCTGTAGCAAAAATAAAGAAAGCCAGCAACAAGGAAATACTAGAAGCCACGAATTGAAAGCAAAATACATTTTATTGTGTAGTAAAGAACTGAGAAGTTAAATATTATTTGATCTAGTTTAATTCAACTAGAATTAACAAAAATTAAATAGGAAATGGAAAATATGGAACCAAATAAATAAATATACAATATACTAACTTATAAAAAACATTTATTTCTATATACATAATATACATTTTATTCACAGCCTAATCTATAAATCTTTTACATATATACATAAAATATATTCTCTTGTTTCAAACAATCGCTTTTTTTTAATTCTAAAAATTGACTACGAAATTTCTTTTTTGTCTCTATTTTCCAACAGCTTACGTTTCGAAGAAGAATCAACTAATATGAAAAACACAGTATTTATTATTCCTAATCCAAAAAGCATAGCAAGTTTGTAATAAAGGCCAAACATCTCAGCTGTGACAAAAGTAATTACCGCTCCAATTGATACTAAGAATTGAAGAATAGCAAAGGCTGCGGCAGCTTCTTCAGAATAAACTGTACCGAGTAAACTAAATATTACGTTTGTGTAAAGACAATCTCCAAGACCTAAAAGAAATGAACAAAACATGGCAAGCACTGTATTGCTTTGAATAATTGCTGATTCGTCGGTTTCACCAAAAGGAGAGTTATCTGGTAAATTAATAAAAATTAATATAAAACTTAAGCTGTGCACGAAACACCCTACTCCTATCAAAACACTTCGACCCAAAGCTGCGACTTTTTTACCGAAAACACTTATTGCGGTTCCTGCAAATACTTCTCCAATTCCTACAAATATACCGGACAAACCGACTAGCTCCTTACGATTAGGTATTTGTTTTGTAAAACCAATGGCAGAAGAGTAAACTCCACTGAAAAATCCTAACTCTAGTCCGTTATATAAAAAAGTAATACTTAACAATAACATATTTTTTGTACAAAATAATTTAACTGATTTTACAAAAGTTTCTAATGCTCCAACTGGCTTGGTTTCATTGATTTTTTCTTCCTTTTTGTGTTTAGGAAGGAAAACAAATACGACCAGTCCAGCTGTGCATACGGCTGCTAATGTAATCAAAATCAGCATTCGCGTTTCTCTGTTTATTTCTTCTTTTCCATTAAATCCAACTAAAACAATTATATTTCCAATAATCATGTTGGATCCGGCTATTACTGTGAATACGCCAGTATTTCTGCTAATGGTTGTCTCCGTAGAATTAAGTGCCAAATAGTAACCTTCGGCTACCCATAATAAAGCGTAACCCAATCCTGATAAACCACATCCAGTATATAAAATCCAAACTTTTTCTAGCATGAATTGTAATATAAAAAAAATACTTAAAATTGCACCCAAAACCATAGCCAATTTGGATCCAAAAACGTTGATTACTGATGGAGCTATCCAATTGAATATCGCAGTGAATCCGGCGTTTATAGCCTGACTGTAATATCCATTTTCTTTATAAGATGGATCATCTTCCTTTATACTATCAATTATGGTTTTTTGAATATTGGTCATTGTTTGTGAACCAGTAAGCAGTAGAAGAAATCCTACACTTAACAATATTATATTTCTTAAACTTAAATCCATATTTTACACTTGAAATAATATTGACTGGCACAAACAAGACGTTAATCACGGTTGTATATTTCATTAAAACTAATCAACTTTCAAGTTATCATTGTATTTAAATAGATATACAAAATTTTTTAGCTTGATAGTACGAGCAAAATTATTAGTAATTTCGCAACCTGAAGAAAACTCGATTTGATTAAAGCTTGACCGCATTTAGGTCAATTGTCGCCCTAGGCAATTCTCTAGTAGCTGCCCTTTAAACATGAGCCGTTTTAGCAAAAAAAAAATTGCAGATTTTTTTATTTAAATATGAATACATTAAAAATGACGAGACTATAGAATGAGATAGAAGAGACGATATAATTAGAAATTATAGAAAATGAGAATTTTGAAATGCATGAAGAGATAGACGATATTACAAAAAAAGCTTAACAGTAAAATCAATTGGAACGAGAATCTTGATTTAATCCGTCACATGCACGACCTTTTCCTGCGCAAAGTAATAAAAAAGATATGGAAGATCCTCTTGCTCTGTTCCCAAAAATGTTAGATAATAATAATATCCAGATGTTAGTAACAGAAACAAGAAGGTATGCCATTTTTAAAGAATAGAAAGATTCATTTAGATAATACAATTTATACACTTCGCAGATAACTCCAAAGTAGATGCTAATGACAAATTCTTTAAACCGCTTAAAAATAAGGTAAAAAATAATTTTCATAAATATTTTGTTTCCGTTGAACACCTGTCTTATGATGAGTCAATAATTCGATACTTTGGCAAGCACGGGTGCAAGCAATTTATAATAGCAAAGCCAACTAGATTTCAAGATGTGAGCGCTCAATTCCTACAATGGATATTTTCTAGATTTTAAATTTTACCGAGGTAAACCAAAAGATATACACACCACAGTTGAGGAAACCTTTGGAAATCTTCCACTTCGCTGATAAAAATGTTGGATCAGATACCATATAAAAAATATCCTTATCATTTCTATGTGGATAATCTTTTTACTAATATAAACGTATTTAACTACTTGAAATTAAAAGGATATAATATAACAAGAACCTTTAGGGATGACATACGTAATTCCTAAAACTTGTCCGTTACCAAAAAAAAAAAAAGAATTAAAAAATTTTGACTGTGGTAGTTTTGCTTCATATATCGACAGCGATCATGGTATTTTTTTCATAAAGTGGGTAGAAAATAACGTTGTGGCTGCTGCATCTACAGCTTATGGTGTTGTGCCCATGGGAACTATGCGTAGACATAGCAAAAAAAATATGTGCAAATTCTAAGACCGCAAATCATTGCCAAATATAACAATATTATGGTCGGAACGGATTTAATGGACCAAAACATCTCTACATAAAATTGGAATCCTTTAAAGTTGTGGTAGTGTATTTTCACGTGGTTTATTGATGCAAGTATTAGTAACAGCTTGATACTCTACAATCACCAATACCCCAAGATTTCCCAATAAGATTTCAGAAGATGTATTGCTGTCATATCTTAAAAAATATTCAAATGCTCCAAAGCATGGAGGAAGACCCAGTTCTTCGATATTTAGTGTCTCGCTTGATAAAATCTCAGACAGTCTAAGGTACGATGGAAACAATCACCTTTTAACACTAGAAAGTCGGGCTTAGCATACCTACCTAGAAAGCCCGAAGTGATCATTTTGGCCCCAAGTTCCTAAATCAATAAAAACCAAGTTTAGATTTAACTATTTATTTGGGAATAAACAAAAAATAAAAATAAACAGTTTTAAGAAATTATATAAATTCTGGACGATAGAATTTTATTTAATCTTTTGGTTTCATTTTAAACATTTGGAACACCATACAATTTGCAGTTTTTGGCATTTGCCACACATTGCCTTGTTACAGCCGTGGCACTCATTGGATGTATGATTTCCTTTACAAAACATTTTTAACTGACATTTTTGTCAGTTGGTAAATCCGGTGGTGCTGGGTATAGTACCAGATTTCGGGAAGCAAGGTATGGGGCCCGTAATTCTTCACACAGCTGAAGAATAAACTTACGGCGACTGATTTTACTTCCAGTAACTTCTTTATAAATAATCCATGCATTTATTGCTCCTAAGTCAAGAATGTTATAAAAAACGTGCATTGGCCATCGTCTTGAAGCAACTTTTGTAGTATAAAGACGTGCCATTTTTTCCACAATATCAACCCCGTATTTTGTTTTATTATAAAAACTGTTTGAGGAAGTTTTTTTTCATCGACAGCAACATCCACTGATTGATGTAATGAGGTCAACAAAAGCACATTTTTGTGACTCTTTCCTTGATATGCAGTAAGTGTTATCTTTTCGTCTCTCTGGAATATATGGGTAACATATACTTCTCCATTTTTACTCTTTACGCTTAGAGGACCTTTCTTATTGTTGCGATTCAAAGTACCCACAAGACAAGTTGATTTTTTTGCAATGCCTTGGCCAATTTTAACAATGTAAAGTAGTTATCTGTCGTAACATTTTTGCCCTTTCCCAGTTGATTTTGCATTAACCGTAAAACAACATGTTCACCAACACTTGCACCAACAATGTATCTTTCTTGCGTAGATGATCAGTGCCAGTATAAGAGTAACCATTTACAATATATTTTGATTCCACCCATGTCAAAAGCCAAAGTTTTATGCCAAACTTATCCGGCTTATTTGATATGTACTGTGTGAACGGGCACCTGGCTTTAGAAGGCAGTAGTTGTTCAGCCACAGTAAGGTTTATTCCCGGATTGTAACATGCACCACTATTTTCTATAAATCCATTCCAAACCGCAGAGGCTAGAGCAAATTTGTCGGTTTTCAATCGTTCAGATCTCGTTTGCTTTATGTCAAATCTGAGATATTTTATAATATCCTTGAATCTGTCTCGTGACGTAGTTTGCCTAAAAAACTGAGGACCCCATACTGTTGACCACAAGCTATTGGTTGGGAAATTTTTGGCGCCGTAGACTCCTCTTGCGTACATAATAGCAAGGGCAGCCTCCAGTTCTTTCAAAGTTACAGTCCATGTGTCATTTTTCAAACGTCGATGGGCTTCTGCAATAGTGCATTCTTTTATATGACGTAACATGCTGTCGTTGATTATTAGATCCCAAGCACTTACCACACAATTGTTCCTCACGTTCCTTTTTGCATACGACGTAGGACCTAATTCCTTTCGATAAATGTTGTGCTGAGTGCGGCGTCCTGTAATGAGCAAACATTCAATGAATATGAAGATACTAAAAATCATAATCTTACCAGGTACTGATCCAGAATCAATAACTTTCCACGTTGTTCCGTCTTTCGATTGTTCGGTGTCTCCGATTGAAATAGTTTTTCCTTGTTGACCTCTTTTTCTCTTGTGACTTGGCTTAGATGCACTTGGATTCACGATAAAATTAGCTGACTCGTGCTGTTGAGTTGTAGAAGCAGTGTTTACATAAATTGGTGAGTCTTGTACAATAAAACTTATGCACTTATATACAATAAAAGTGCTCTGAAGCATCAGAGTCACTTGAATCATTATTTTGTGGTGGTACGTATTGTTCATCGTCTGACTCATTATTTTCTGCAAATTCAGATTTACCTCCCGAAACATCTTCTTGTATTTTTCGTATTTCTTCAAGAAGTTCAAGCTCTGATAGTCCACGACGAGACATCTTTACAGTCGTCTTGAATTTTCACAATTGAACGAATGTTTCAATATTTTAGAAACGAGAGTCAGCAGAACCCAATAAACCGCTCAACAAACAAAATACTTTCAAGGAACAAACAGTATGCAACAAAATACCTTCTAGGAATAAACGTACATAAACAAAATTATATCTATCCGACAGAAAGTTAAAAGAAATCGTCAAATTTCCGAGAAAACGATAATAATTATTTCATGGCCAGTTTGGCCCCTTCAGACTTCTACGGTAGGTTTGTTAGAAAATCCATTTAATAAATTTAGTAAACAATATTTTTTTTTGCGTTAAATAAGACTTTGTATCAAAATATTAAAAGTCATAAAATATGAAATTATTATTGTGTCAAATAAAAGCACTACTATAACTTCAGATCGCAACAGGAGCCAAATTGGCCCCTCCGATTTTCTAGTGTTAATATTTATACCTAACAATAAAAGACATCGCTGTGCAGGAGAGGGGTGTAGCAGTAGTACTCGAACCATGTATATGAAGACATTCTAGTTATAATATAAATTTCATTGTGTTTCTTAAGAATTTATTATTATTTATTATTATTTACGGTACCGTAGTGACCCAGCTTTACCTTTATGTAACACATATTTTTTTAAATAATATGAGGTTGAATGCTTGGATAAATGAACTTTGAAAATTAAGGCAATTATATCAAGAACAAGTTTAATTAAATCTTGCCCAAGTACTTTCGCTTAATATAGCATCTTCAGTTGCATTTCGTCAAATATGGGCTATCCGGCAAGCGTAGAATGTCATGAATATGAATGACAACATAAAATTGTACAAACACTACACTAAAAACAAGGACAAACAGTTTAAAATTAGTTAAAATATTACTACGCTCTACATTCTCTGGCGGTATCAGGAGAGAGAATGATCCTGATACCGCCAAAGAATGTAGAGCGTATTAATATAAAGTACTATTGGGTAATTTTGATGCTTCAACATGTATAACAAACTATTTTACAGGTAATTTAACGAGCTATAAGTATAAGAATGTTAAAACATTTTAAAGTCCTTCATGTTTACAGGGTAAAGGGTCAAAGGGTCGGAGACCAGTGGTTCGTGCGCTATAAAGCAAACTTCAACCAACTATATCTCCGTTATTTTTTAAGCTACAAAAAAAATTTAAAAATGAAAATTTTTGTTGAAAAAACCTATTTTTTTGTATTCATCTTTTACGTATCTTTTATAGTGTTTAAGTTATCATAAAAAAAGATTTTTTTTTTAAAAACAAAAAAAAATGTAATCATACTTTTTTTAAAAACTGGGTATTCTAAAGTGGCGTAACTTTTGGATCATACAAAAAACACTAAAATAAAGTGAATTATATAAGGAAAACAATTTATTTCAATCCTAGTGAA